ATTGCAACATGGAATTACAGAGTAAAGAATACCTCTGACTTTTATTGTGAGCATTGTGAATTTGATGTCCTGCTGAATGGTGTTTTCTCCTTATCATATAAACTTAGGATACAGAATCTGTGGGCTTGCAAATATACAAATCCCATCGGTACTAACCAGCAGCCTTGATGCATACTAATAGTGAACACATTCCCCAATTCCTGATTCTCATGCAGCCAAATGGCAGCCTCCATGCACAGCAGGAAATATCAGTAGGCTCTGGGGAATCCCATGCTGCAACTTTTTGTCCTAGTTCCCATTTGCTGACTTGTGAACTCCAGCAGTGCAATCAGAATGGCCATCCAAACGAATAACTTCTCCAGCAACTTTCTCAGTCTGCCTCCCTATTTTCTTCTGAACTCCTACCAGCATTCTTAAATCTGTCAGATATACTCAAATGCTCCATTCTTTGCCACACTGAGTCTTAGCCCTGAATAACTATAACAGATGCACACTTCTTTATAGCCCTTATTCCACAGTTCCCTTTCATAACCCATGCATCCACATTTGTGCTGTTTATGTTGATTAGGTTTTTTTCCTGTTTCCTATTTAATTTGGAATGAAAACAAAAAAGGAGAATGTAAGAGTTATGCTTGATCAGACTAAAGGCCTATCTATGCCAGCATTCTGCTTCTCATCATAACCCACCACTACTTGTTGTTGTTAGTCGCGAAGTCATGTCCAACCCATCACAACCCCAAGGACAACATTCCTCCAGGCATTCCTGTCCTCCACCATCCCCAGGAGTCCACTCAAGCTCACACCCACTGCTTCAGTGACTCCATCTAGCCACCTCATCCTCTGCCGTCCCCTTCTTCTTTTGCCATCTATTGTGCCCAACATTAGGCTCTTTTCCAGGGAGTCCTTTCTTCTCATTAGGTGGCCAAAGTATTTGAGTTTCATCTTCAGGATCTGGCCTTCTAAAGAGCAGTCAGGGTTGATCTCCTCTAGGACTGACCAGTTTGATCGCCTTGCGGTCCAAGGGACTCACAGGAGTCTCCTCCAGCACCACAATTCAAAGGTCTCAGTCCTTCAGCGCTCAGCCTACCATAAGAAACCCACCATTAGGTGCCTCTAAGGAGTCCACAAGCAATAGCATGAGGGCAATAGCATTTTGCTGCCGCTTTCTAGCATGAGTTTTCAGAGGGACAGGGGTTGTGATTTTAGACAAGAAGAGAGAAGTACTCCCAAACTCACACTTATTTAATTAACACACCATCCCATCTGAAAAAATACTGCTCTGGAAAAACAAGCTAGGTTTTTGTTTGTTTGTTTGAAGTGTGGCATACTAATTGATGGGCTGCTCACCAAAAAGTTGGACTTGTTGAGCAAGTTAAGTCTTTAAAATAATGTAACCAAATTGGAAATACAGTCTAATGTAATTGATCATTACTGATTTATTTTTGCTTATATTCTCCCCCTCCTCTGAAGAGTTCAGGATACTAGGGACAGAGTTTTCTTATTGGAAGCTCCATACCTTCAGAATTCCATCTGTAGGAAGATACACTTGGTCTCAACACAGCTGGCTTTCCTAGAATAATATCAACAACCTGCAGACACATTTGAGTTTGCATTTGATGCTTAAAAATTATTAACTGCCACTGAAATGTTTATGTTTATAATGTTGTTTTTATAATATTGCAAGCCACTTTAGGAAGGCAGTGCAACCTGAAAGATGGGTTAGAAAACTTTGACATGTATAGTGCCATCTGCTATTTTCTGTTCACAATCTGAGCCAGAGACAGGTTTGGGAAGAGGTTGGGCAAAAAGCTGTCATAGCCCCTCTTCCCACTGCTGCAATTGCCCATTTGCTCAGGAAAGCAATCCCAACTATCGCCCAGAAAGAAAGGCAGAGTGGCTGCTGTTCCTATTGGTCAGTCCCACTTCTTTCTGGCACTCCAGCAAACAGGAGCACTGACATGGACTAAAGTAGTGAAGCAGGGGGTCCTGCTGAGATGTGGATTTTGACAGGTGCCCAACAATGCCAACCATTGAGAGTAGGCCACTCCCAGCAGTTCTCTGAAGCAGGATAAAATACAGCATCTGCATCAAGATCAAGCCAAGCAGCAATCCTATACCACTTGCCTCATTGCACTCAGTGAGACTTACTTTTGAGTAGGCATGTACAGAAGTGCACTGTCGACCTCAGCAGGGACTTAAATCCAGGTCAAGTCCAGCACTTTCTCCTTTGTACTACATCAGTTCATGCCTTTGGTAGATTGCATTTCAAATATAGTCATTATATAATATTTATGAAAATCCCTTATGACCAGTTCTTACTTCCACTTCTTATGAAGCCATAATAACAACTGTGCAGAAGAGGGAAGCATTAGCAGGCTCCATTTTGAAAAGCAGAAAATAAAAGCAACAACTCACAGTAGCCCAGTAAGGACCGAATACACTCTAATGGTATGCGATGCTTGCTGACTGTTTAGGGATCAAAAGCAACATGGGAGAGGGGCAGTGGAATGGAGTATCCTAGAAGGTTCAGTGATCCACTGGAACACTGAATGGGTGCACAGCCCTCTGTCACAGGTCCTATCTGTATATTTTTTATGTTATTGTTGATTGGACAAGCTTCTGTTCTTTTTTGTGCAGGAAGAAGAAATTCAGGGAGAGGAAAGGAGCATGACATAGCAGTTGGAGCAATGCAGAGCATCAGAATATGGGTCACTATAAATATGGAAGGAAGGTATGGTGAATATGGGTCACCATTCCTTCCTTCCTTCCTTCCATGATGGTATTATAGCATAGGTTATATGCCATAGAAGGTGATGATGGCTCTTTTGAAGCATGCTCAGTATGAGCTAATGCTTGATTGTAATGAGGCTCTCCTGTACGTTTTTGCATAATTTCCAAACCAAGTTACTAGAAATCAGAGTAACATGTGCTCTGCTCCGTTACAATCCTTTTACCCCGAAGACAGCACAGTTGACTTCAGTGAGCCAGGGAACTGAAGTGTTTAAAAAATCCCAGCTCAGATTGTGTGTCATATTCTGGAGAAAGAGTTCTGCAAATAGCACAATGGGAAGTAAACAGTTTACAGTAAACATGGCTCTTATTCATACAGTTCTGTAATTGTACAGGATGTGTTATACAAATCAAAGTATGACTATATAATTCAAACAATTTAGAATCTGAAGCTAAGTGCAAGTGAATGAATCCTGACTGCCCCCCAAATGTTTCTATTTCCTTCTGGAATTTATTCTCAGAGTCCTTCCTATCCTATGGATAATTACCTTACCAACCCTGGTCGGGCTGCCAAGTCATATCCCAGAAAAACCTCCTGTCTTTTCAATTGTCCAACAGCTCAAAGAAAAATACAACTGGAGTTCCTCCCAGCTTGCTGTTTCCTGAGTCCTTTGCTTCACCTTCCTACAGTAGGGCCTAATGGAAGTCCTGTATGCCTCCTAGTTGAAAATGAAGGGTAGGTTTGGAATCACAGAAGAAGCAGGGCATGCAGAGCCAAGGTTGCATTGCTCTTCTCAGTTCCAGGATGATTTGAAAGCAGACTTCTCCACATTGCCACTTGCAGCCCTATGCTTGCAGCAGGAAACCCATCTGAGTGCTCATACTTGGAATTTACAAAGCAATACACACTGCTTAATGCAACTTTTCCTCCATACAGTAATTTTTCAAACTGCAGAGAATTTCATTTAAAGTACATTTTTTCTTTCAGTTTTATAATAATGAAATCCAAAGTGTTAATAACAAGTCAGTATAAATTTATGTTACTCTGTTTAACTACTCAAAGTACTGGGGAATTGGTAGGACCAGCAAATACCAGACTACCATCTAAATACTCTTGCTCAGAAAGAAATTATGGTACCATGTGATCCAATGTGAAAGTGTGTATAAAAATTACAAGTTTCATTTGCAAATGTCAGAAACATTGCTCGTTTCCTATGCACACTTCCCTGTGTATACAGCCTGCATAACCAAGGGAATCTTACGTCTAGCAAAACTTGTACAAGATGTGGCATTTCTGCCACTGCACACTAACAACCGTGCACATGTGCGTGAGCATGCACACACACACATGGTTGCAGCCACAGTTTTGTGGGTAAAGGCAGGGATTAAATCAATGAAGCACATTTTAGAGAAACTGTCCATGCTTTGCATGCAGAAAGCCCAGTTGTAGAATCTGGCATCTTCACTTAAAAAGAGCGGGTTATAGTTGAAATGAAGGACCTCTGCCCAAGCCTCTGGTCAGCTGCTGGTGGTTCAAGGCAGGGACATGGGATAGACATTAGTCAATGAACTGTCTCAATATAACCTTGCAATTTGTGAGGCTTCAGAACTGCTTCAATACTGAAGCTTTTATTTGCTTCATAAGTTGATATCCATCCAGACAATGAGCAGCAAGCCTGCTCCAAACATATTACCAGGAATTGAATGCCTTTATACTTCCTGAGATTGTTACATTTTAACTCATCCCATAAACTCCCATTTTATCTACACACCCATCCCTGTGACAGGAAGGTTAGTCTGAGAGATCAGCCTGAGGTTACTCATAGCTGTCCAGAAATCCAAACCCAACTTTCTAAGACAGTAATTCAGCTTCCTGGTACTCTCCAGATGTTTTGGGACACAACACCCAACATTCCTAACCACCCCCTTTGCTAGACAGCAGCAAACATTTGGAAAACAATTGGTTTGGTGAAGGATACACTAGATACTAATTTATGATAACATGCACATTAATCACATCAGGCTTTGACAGAGATGCTTAAAACCTACAGTGTCAAGCCCTTCTCTCTCTCATTCTCTTTGGAGTTAGTTTTGAGTAATAAAAGAGGAGCAGAACGAGGAAGGCAGTTCTGGTTAAAAATGGAAAATCGAAACAAAAACCGTGTTCATAGACCGTGTCCGCAGAAAAAGATCGTCTTGCTCAAAATCATTGCAAATGCAGTCAGCGTTGAAGAGTCTAATAAGCCGACCGGATCCAACAGCTACCCTACCTGTTGACAGGTATCCAGAACATTGCCCGAGACGAGCGTCCGAGTACAGAGCCCTAAAGTGGGGAGGGAAGGTACATATGCGCATGCGTACTGCGCCCATATCAGGTCTAGCAGAATGTGCAACGCAAAGTATCTTCTGGAGACAGGAGCAGAAAACGCGTTCCTAATATGCAAATTTAGCAACTCCGCCTCTTGCTGCTCATTGGTGGTTAGAGCAGGGCGTGACCGGATATGTAAATAGAAGCCGGCGTTTTGAAAAGGCGGGGGAGGGGAGCAGCCGGCATTTTTCGTAAATGGCGGAGAAGGAAGAGGAGGGGCTGAACAGGCACGAATATAGCCGGGCGGGGGGGCAGGGTCAACCGAGAGCTGGTGGGCGTGGCGCAAATGCAAATCTTGGCCCTTGACGGCTATTGATTGAAGGAGAAGAAACCGGTGGGTTGGGTGATGTAAACGAAGGCGTTCGGTCGCCCGAATCTCTCATCCCGTCCCTGCCTCCTCGCTCAGCCCCGCCCCGCGGTTTTAAAGTCGCGGCGCCTGCGCAGTGAAGGGAAATGAGGACTTAGTCTGTTACACAACTGACTGTTGTGCTGTGTGAGGGGGCTGCGTTCTCCCTTCGGCCTCAAGACTTTCCTACTCCCCAGGCTTCTCGCTTAGGCTTCCCCTCCCTACACACTGCTTTATAGGCATGAGTGGGGATCAGCTGCATAACGACTCCCAGGTAAGGGGGCTTCCCTCAGTCAGGGTAGTTATGGGGTGGGAGAGGAACCTCTTTGGATATCGAGGCCTACAGTTCCCTTTGAGAAACAAAATTGGGGTTCGGGGGACCCCTTAACTCCGTTTCATACCACCTCTTCAGCAATAGTGGGGAGGTTGTTCTGCCTCAGTTTCTTAACGAACCAAATACAGTGCTATCAGATAATAGGGTGCTGGTGGTTCTTCTCCCACTTTTGGTTCAGAGTTTTGGGGTGAGGATTTTTTTGGGTTCAGAGAGAAAGAGACCCATTCTTTCCATCATGATAATGTCATTGGCCTTTAGTAATATTTAGGCCCCTCGACCTGTTCTTTCCTTCCAGACGCACACACCCCATTCTCTCCCTCTCTCTCCCAGGACCACCTCTCATCCTGCAGACCCTCGTCTTTTGCTTACCTCCTTCAAGTTGCCTGTTAAGCCTATAGATACTGTCTATGATAACCCCCGATCCAGTTTCCCTTGGTCTTTCTAACATGCTTAACATCTTCCCTTCTTCCAGCAAAAAGCACTCTTGAGCTGGGGGTAGGCAAGTTACCCCTCCCTTCACGAATTCCTCCCACCTCTTAGAGGACACGTCTGGTACATAAAAGGGGGTAGGGGGGAGGGAATCTCCTGGGAACATAGCAACCACGCACGAGGAAGAAGGCAATTAAAACAGGAGGGCAAAAACTTAGGTGGGGGTGGGGGAGAGAGAGCTATATAGATATATATTACACATTTTGGCCACTCTAGATTTATTCAGGATTATCCCCAGTCGCTTTTAGGGCCATCGGATTGCTTTCTCCCTATATCTTTGCTTATGTTTTTATTTTAAAAGAATAGTACCCTAACAACCATATTTTGTGTGTGTGAAAAGATTCCTGGATCATGGGTTTATTTTTAATGCTTTCCCCCCTCCCGTTTCCTTTCCCCCATAGATCGATCCAGATTTCCGAGCGAACGGTGAGTGTCTTATCCCTAATGCTGTAAAGTGGGGAAGATTTGCTCTGCGTTCTCTCCTTTTCCCCCCTTCTCTTGTACTGCTGAAGATGGTAAAGGACAGACATGGCGTCCCAGAGACTAAGTCCCGTCTCCTCGCTCACCGGCCCCATTGTTCCCATCGAGCTTCCTAATGCTCCGGAATCGTAGGGAGCCCGGCCCATCTGACCCCATAGCTCGATAGTGAGGATAGTGGAGACCCCAGATCTGGCCTCCTTTGGCTCTTTTGAGCCTTTCTTGGGCCCCGACTCCCCCCTGGAAAGTCGCCTTGTCGACAGTCGGGACTTAGTCTCTGCGCCATTTTCTTTTTCTCTCTCTTCCCTGTGTGTGTCTCTTTCTCCTTCTCCTCCCTCGAGCTGCCCACAAGGAGCCTCCTGCAGTGAAAACATGCGAACTAGCCACCATCCATATTCCAAATATCGCCCCCCAAAAGGGGAAAAAACCATTTGTTTTCCCCTTTGCTTTTTTAAAAAGATTGGCTTAGTTTTCTACCTGCCTTTTTATTCGTACCTCGTCCCCTTTTTCTCCTCCCTCAGTTCTTTCAAGCCTCTTTCCCCTATAACGAAATGTTGTTGCAACATGTTGCTCTTGAGCATATTCGCCATCCCTTTGAATACACAACATACTTAAGATCTAGATGCAGAAACTTTAGCTGGTCGGATGGGGGTTTATTTCTGTATTTAAAAAGAAGGAAATGCAAATAAAACCGTGCGAACAGTTCCAAAACAGGATTCAGCATCACTTTGATAAAGTTTGATAGTTTGAGGGGAGTGTGTCTTCAGTTTATAAAGATAATGGACAATGAGTATCTTCCGTGTATTTTTTAAAAAAAATGTGGGGGGTTATGTTTTTGTTATGTATGCCTTTGTGTTGCATGGGGAGTTTTCCCTGTCCTTTTAAAAGGATTAAGTAGGGTATGGAAGAATAGGTGGTAGAGTTGTAATAACATATTTATAAAAAAAAAGTAATGATTGCTTCTACTTTTTGAAAATACATTAGTTTAGGCTTTAGCTGAAGAGCCTTATAATACTGGATGTCTTGCTTTCATAAAACATTAGCATTATGTGTAATGTGTTTGCATGTTACATGTGAGTTCTATATTGTTTGCATTTCTGCTTTTGAATAACAAATGTCAAGTCATTGATGATAAAGGTGTTACTGTAATATCGACATCCTTTTTTGCATATGCTATTTCTGTTGAATGATTTAGATTAAAAATACTTTTTTAGAAAGATGAGTTAGAAATTCTACAACCCCAAAATGAAAATCACAGAACTCTTTAAATGTAATCAGGAAGATGGTTTTATAACCACTTTCTTAAGGAAAAGATTGACTATGACAATATGTACTATATTTTGACCTCCAGGGTCAGTGCTAAGGCTGTGTTTAAGTTTGGTTTTGGACTTGGATCACAGTGCAGTTTCAACTATGTTGACTGTCTGCATCTTGTCACCTTGAAACTTCTTTTTAAAATGTGTTCTGATTAGGTCTGATTCTGGGGTCCGGTTGTGCAGTCACCTAAAACTTAGTGCTGGAATTTTCATCTCAGCTCAGGACATGTACCTGATAATCTGATTCTTGCACTTTGAAGTTGAAACTACTTCCTACCAGTTTTAGTGCTTATTTCATTTCAGTTTCTGTATACCAGTGAGTGAGTAAACTGATAATGGGCGCATAGTACATTCTTGATCCAGTTTATGAGCTCCAGGCTCTTTGATACTGTTCAAGGAATAGCAATTCTAATAGTCATGTCCTTTTCGACCTTGCCACTAAGGCTGAACTTGCTTTCATGTGTCCCTTTTCCACCATACTCATACACATTCAATAGGGCTTCTGACTTCTGAGTTGGAGTGATTGCATGTTGAACTTAGTGTCTTAAATATCTATTTATATTCTGAGTAAAGCAGTAGAGGACCTAGAATTAGGTTAATATTTATTTTTGATTGTTTAATCTTATTTATGTCCTAATGTTTCAATTTAATATTTCGTATAATCTTGTAATTTTTACTGACTACTGTAAATTGCCTTAGAAGGATAACTTATTTTACATTCTATTTAATTATTACAGCATGCATTACCAGTAGCAGAAAATATCTGTGTACACTGTATTTCTGGAGTTTGTCACTTCCTTCTCCCTGTTTCCTACTTCAGTGTCTTATTACTTCATAAAAAAAGCCTTTAGTTTTAGAAAGGTAGATAGCATTTAAATACAGAAGTAGCACACTGGGGTATGTGCTTGTTTTTGGGCTGTCACATTCATTCAAAGGTACTAATCAAAGAGAGCAGCTATCTTTTAATTATTGAGCATGTAATGCAGGGATAGGCAATCTGATCCCCTGCAGATGTTTTGGGCCACAACTCTCAGAATCCCTGACCATTGTGGCTAGGGCTGATGGGTGTTGTAGTCCAAAACATCTGAAAACTGCCCACCCATGAAATGAAGTAGTTCCCAAGTATAAAAGGACACTAGGCATTTAATGAAGACTGCCAGTGTAAAATAATGTACAGGTATCTAATCTTGTAAGAATTATTTTGTACTTTAAAAGTTAGGAAAATATAACTAGGAATTCTCAAATTGATTAAAGGCACCTAGTAAACAGTGATTTACTGTGTTGCATTGCTGCCTGTGAGTAAAAGTAAACTTCTAGCTCTTGTTTTCTCTAAACATTTGTAGTCACACTATGCCCTTAAAAGAAGTTCTTGTGGCAGGCAAGTTGGCCCCAAAAGTTCTTTCTCCTAGAACTTGATTGTTTGAAAGATAGAGCTCACATACTATTATCATGAACATATGACATACAAAACAAACGACCCCTAGATTAATGAGAAGTATGCAACATGTGTGTATGATTCTCTCAACATATATTTGTTTGTCAAGCCAAGGAAAATGTTGTGTACAGTGTGGTATCTCAAAACTGGACACTTTTCCAGTGAGGTAGTTTTTCCCCAACTAACAGCAGCATGTGTGTTAGAATCCAGGTTACCTCTCAGTTCTTGAATTTTTATTGCAGGACATGGCTGTTCTCATTCTGCAGGTAAATACAGTTTTCAGCTATGATGGGGAATTACTAAAAGTCAGCAACCTGGATGCCTTACAGTAACTTTTTTGTCATGTGCAAACTACATTTTTACTTTTTGGGGATGTTAAGAACATAGGAAAAACCACTGGTAGGCTTCCTTTAAATTCCCCAGTGAATTGTTTCCTTGACTGAGGGGTTTTTTTTGGGGGGGTGGGGCTGATTGGACTGACTATTGGTAATGAAAGATGATGTTTGTGAAACAATGAAGTTATATATTCTGTGATTTGGAGATTATTTGAACCCTCATTGAAACACATTTGCCATGTCTTCCAAAACATGTTTATTTTATTTGGAAATAAGTCTTAGTGAGCACAGCATGATCTGT